TGGGGATTCTAGTGGCTTTATGACTTCATCCCCGCAGGCTAAAGTGTCCCTTACGGTCAGTTATCAGTGTTCAGTACAAAGGTGCCTTCTCAGAGGTAAGTTGCTCTTCAGTTTGGCTCCTGGACTCTGGGGAAGCTTTCCTCTTTTAGTAGCCAACTCTTAGAGGGGTAAGTGAGGGTGAGAGTTTGGGTTAAGTTTAGGGTGAGGGGATGAGGCTGAAAGGCTGAAAGGGAGGGACAGGGGAAAGTACAGGGAGAGGAGGGAGGGTAGGCAGAAACAGGGAGGGAGAATTCTAATGCCTTTATGACTTCATCCAGGCGGGTCATTATCAGAGGTAAGGGAAGGAGAGGGAGGACGACAGGCAGGGAAGAAGTTGGCAAGCAATGGAGCTGGAGGAAAGCATTTCATGCCACAGAAACCATTTCCCTCTAGGATCCAAAAAGCATCAGCAGCATTTCCAAGGATTTTTTTCCAACTTTTCACTCCATCCAATACAGTAGTTCTGTAATTTCCTGTCGGTCTCCTATCCAAATATTAATCTGCTCTTTTGCTCCTGCATAGTTTCCGAACTGGCCCAAGCACTTTCAGCTGCCGATACACACGCGCGCAAGCCAGCAAATATTTAATGACTAAAATCTTTATAGGTGTCAGTCAGAGCCTCTTTGCTTGCTTTCCACGGCTTATATTTTCTGACGGAATCGGAAAACCGTTAGAAACCCTGAAGCTCGGAATTCGTGCTTCTCTAAACTTTTTTCTGTCTAGAGAAGCACAGGAGCCCTTAACATAAGCGGCGCAGAAAAGCCAATCAGCGACCTCTAAAACCGACGACCAATAATCGTTCAGGAAATCGTGACGCGTGCCCCGTCTCGTTACTCTGCAGAGGCCATTTTGAGTGCTGGCCCCTGCCCTTCCCAGCTGTTTCATTGCTCGCCTCATGCTGCGGCCGGCGCTGGCTGCTCTGGCTCTGGGCTGGGCGGTCGCCTGGCTGGCGGCTCGCGGCTTCGCTCCCTGGTGGTGGCTGGGGCGGAATTGCAGCGGGGAAGCGGTCCTAACTGCCGCCGAGCTGAGCCGTTACACGGGCACAGAGGGAAGCCCGGGACTTTACCTGGCCGTGTTGGGACAGGTGTTCGACGTGCAGCAGGGGCGCAGGCATTACGGCCCCGGAGGCGCTTACGGCTTCTTCTCAGGTACTTCGCCTCCCCGTTCCTCTTTCCCACCAGGCCCGGGTAAAGGGGGCGAGCCTTTCTCCCCCGCGCGCGTGTGCGCGGTGCAGGGCGTGCAAATAGACGCGATCTACACGCTTACATTAGAATTAGAAGACTTGGACTTAAAACAATTTTATTGTCACTTTGAATGTGCACTAATCGGCATACATTGAAATGAAATTTCGTTGCATACAGCCCTCAAAGGGTCTCCACCTCCAATGTAAACTACATAAACAAAATAAAGTAAATACAAAATTAGAATAGAATAGAATAGAATAACAGAGTTGGAAGGGACCTTGAAGATCTTCTAGTCGAGTCCCCTGCTCAGGCAGGAAGCCCTAGAGCATTTCAGACAAATCGTGCCTACCGTCCCTGTCCTTTTGTCCCCATTTATTGGTACCTATTTCCTGTATTCTTACTCATGTTTATACTTACACTTATTATCTTGTAACCGATTGACAAATCAAATAAACAAAATAAAATATCTTCTTAAAAACTTCCAGTGTTGGAGCACCCACAACTTCTGGAAGCAACTGGTGAATTGTTCTCACTCTTGGGAAATTTCTCCTTATTTCTAGGTTGCTTATCTCTCCTTGATTAGTTTCCATCCACTCTTTCTTCCTCTAGCCTTCTGGTGCTTTGGAGAATAGCTTGACTCCCTCTTCTTTGGAAGAGAGATTCTCCTATTTTCCTCTTTCCAAGGGGGCTGATTGAAAATTGAAATGTCAGGATTGACATTCCAAGCTCCATCACACTCACCTCGACTCAACACCCTCTGACTCTAGGTATTCTCTATGAGGACACCCTTTTTATATCCTTCCAAAAGACCACTGTCCCACATTTTTGTTTCAGAATATAAAGCACAACCATTGATGGATGAGGTGCCATTAGGTCATTGTTGACTTCTTGCAACCAAACAGACCCCCCCTCCCCCGATTATCTATTCCCTAACCTATTTCTTCAAGTCTTTCCAAGAGTGGACTTGTCACCATTGCAACTGAGCCCCTTCCACATTGCATCCTCTTTTCTTCCATCTTTCCCAGCTTTAGAGCCTTTTCCAGAGAGCTGGGTATATACAATGTGGTTAATGATAAGGCAAATGCATAATTTGTCTGAAGTAGGATAATTTGAGCCTGCTTCATTTGTCCCTAGTGTGAGTTCTCTGGATTGATTTGGTCGATGATCCAAAGAATTATTTTTTTGCCATTCACGCAGTGGTGAGATTCAATTCTTTTTTTACTATTGGTTATATGGGCATGGCTTGGTGGGCGTGGCAGGGAAAGGATACTGTAAAATCTCCAGTTAGAGGTGGGATTTGCCGGTTCTCCAAACTACTCAAAATTTCCATTACCGGTTCTCCAGAATGGTCATAACCTGCTGAATAGCACCTCTGTATTCACCATATTCTCAGGAGTCTTCTCCAACACCAAAGTTCAGAAGTGTCAATGCTGTTTCTAATCTACCTCTTCGGTCAAACTTTTGCTTCCATACCACGGTTTGCATGACTCCGATCTTTGTAGAGATACACACATCATGGTATTTGAATATCTTTTCCATTGCCTTTGTGTTTGCTCTGTGAAAAGAATTCATTTAACATAATTTACTTTACTATTGTTTTTAAACACTTCAACTGTACTGTTTGGTTTTGTTATTGTGTGCACTGCGCAGAGTCACAAGTGTGAGTTGGGCTATTATATAAATTGATAACATTGTTGTCAAGAGCCTGCAGAGATTTTGCAAATGTATCTATTTAATTTATGGACTGCCCAACTCCCAAATTACTCTGGATAGCTTACAGTGAAAAACCAACTTATTAAAAGAAAAATACACTAGAAGATCGAACTACAAAAACAAAACAAAAATGTCCCCTTCCTAAGCCCTAGGAGAATGATCAGTTAAATGGTTATTTGAGGGATGGCCTTGATTACATCTGCCCCTCCCATTAGGTCTGTACAGGTGGGATCAACCCTTTTCTTTTTGATCCTGTGCTTGCTAAGTAGCTGGAGTCACACAAAATGGTTCATCCGATTGGTAAAAAAAGAATAAAACGGTTTCATTTGCCTAGTGCATTGGTGGCTAACCTTTTTTGGCTCCTGTGCCAGCACCCAGAAGGCAATGCGTGCTGCCTCCCCAACACCCCCTGTGCATGCACGCATGTCTCCTGTGACCCCCACCCCCTGCGCATGCACGCCAGATACCCAACAATCAGCTGTCGGGCAGAGGCACGCATGCGCAGCGGGGCTCTTCCAGGCAACCTCTTGGGTACTGATAGAAGTGGCTCTGCATGTCACTTCTGGCAGGCGTGCCATATGGTCGCCATCATGGGCCTAGTGAGTCAAATTTTAATTTTGGTTTTTTTTTTTTATGGCTTAGATGTGTGGAGAGCTAGTCTGTTTTGTTAGCTGATGTACAAGTATTATACAAGGCCAGAAATGGAGTTAATCAGGTGACAAAGCAGGTGTTTTTTGATTGTTTGTCCAGGAAAAGATGCCTCCAGAGCTTTTGCCACAGGTGACTTCACCCCAGCTGGCCTGGTAGATGATGTTTCAGGATTGTCACCACCACAAATGCTGGCCATCCAGAACTGGCTTTCCTTCTACTGTAAGAATTACGTGCATATCGGTACGTAGATACCTTGAAACTACATACACCAATCAATCTTGTTTGCACCAGCTTTTCAGCCACATCATAGTGTAGTGTGTTCTTCACTCAGCTGATATAGAGAGCCACTCAATTACCTTGAGGAAAGATCAGCAGCCTATACATTTTATAAATATTTCTTACTTGCCTGTCAAAATGTAGCATTCCTATTGGGGTGTATGTAAGAATATCAGGTTTATTAGGAGAATGTAGAGAGTTTAAATAATTAAGGACACTGAATGGAATTTGCCTTAACCTATCAATTATTATCTGGAAGAAGCTTGTAGTCTGGAAGCTTTTATGTTTGCTTCCATTTCAAGTTGCTTTCACAACTCAGCAAAGAAACAGGATTTGGCCCAGGTTGTGTACTTTTAAAAGGGAAAAAAATCAAACAGTGGAGAGCACAAAACTTATATTATTATCTTAACTATGTTTCCCATTGAAACTCAGTTTATTGTTCAGGGTGTAACAAAAAATTACAGTGAGCAAAACCCTGATTAAGCTAAGCCAGTCATGGAAATGGAAGTACGTGTGGGCTGTGTGTGTCTCAGGGATGAGTGTACGGTGGTGACATGTATTATCTCTTTTCAAAAGGCAAAGTAGCTGGACGATTTTACCAAGAAAGTGGGGAACCTACTAAGGTTTTGGAGGAGGCCCAAGCTCTCATTGAAGAAGGGGAGAAGCTGCAGGCTGAGGAGGTTGAGCGAAAGAACCAGTTTCCACCCTGTAACTCTGAATGGAGCTCAGCTACGGGAAGCAGGGTCTGGTGTTCCAAACAGAGGTAGGATTTGCAGTTAAACCGTCAAAGGAGGATATGATGATAGTGAACCCACAAAGTATAATTGTATGATGCAGATATTAGATCCATGCATCATAGTCATAAGCTTGGTAACTCTTTATTATGTCATGCTGAAGGTGGGTAGTCTGTTGGCGGCAGGGAGAAAGGTTTTCTATTTGTCCTGCTGCTTGTCGAAGTAAGGTTATTTTTTTTAAATAATAAAACTGGCAGTGCTCTTTTAATGCTGCAGTAGAAGTGTGATTGTTCAGTGATTAAAGATGTTGAGCTTGTCGGCTGGAAAGCTAGAGTAAGATACAACGGGACAGGGAAACCTTTACCTTTTGCTACACGTAGCCCTTATTTAATAGCAGTAATAGGGATTGGAACTCTAAATATTGGTTGTAAAATGCAACTTCATATGACAGCTTGATTAGCAACAGCAGTTCTGGCTGTTCTCAGTTACTGTTAAGTAAGGACCTCCTTTGATCACAACTCCCAGTTTTCGCATTAGCTTTGCTTGTGGGAAGCCAGCAGGGAAGATTGCAAATTGCAATCATGTGACTGCAGGATGCAACAATGGTCATAAACAATGACAAGATTAAGGAGACGCTGTGATGGCTGGAGCTTTGAAGACTGTAAGTATCATTCTTTCAGTGCCCTCACAAGTTTGAGCAGTCACTGAACAAGTGGTCATTAACTGAGGACCATCTGTACAGTTCTTACCTAACTTGTTTAAAAACGGCAGGAAATCATTTACAGCATAAAGAGCTGAAAAATATAGCTTGAAAGTGCCTGTAGCAATAGTTTATCCATACTTTCTATACACTGTGATTTAGAGCGGTTTCTCTTAACCTTGGCAATTTTAAGACCTGTGGACTTCAACTCCCAGAATTCCTGAGAATTCCTCAGCTGGCTGAGGAATTTCGGGAATTGAAGTCCACAGGTTTTAAAGCTGCCAAGGTTTGAGGAACACTGGTTTAGAGAGTTAAGGGGCTCAATTTGTAATCAGAATGGAGAAGATGAAATGTTTTTTTCCCCATTTGGCTCAGTATCTCTAACACAATAATACCTGTGTATTGATTCTGGCCACAGGCTATATTAATAACACACCACTAATGTTGAGTTAAAACATGATTGCAGTGCAGCAATGGTGGAGGATGCAGAAGCACTATGAGTAGCTTTTCAAAGCAGCTGCATTTTTTCGAAGATTGCATATAGCTGTCTTCAATTAGCATGTGGTCTTAAGGGTAAGACATAGCTTCTTTTAAAAATTGCAGAGCTGCTGTGTTCACACACTGCAACACCACTGTTAAACGTGTCCATTCTTCCCATTTCATTCATTTCTTCTTTTCTGTGGTTTTCAGTGGAGGCATCAGCCGAGAATGGTCTGGTGTACCAAGGAAGCTATATGAACCCGGATCCAGTCGTAGCCATTGTGTTTGCATAAAGACAGAAGAGCTGTTTCCTGGGCAAGAGAAATCCACCCAGCTAAGCAACCAAGGAAAGTTGAACAATCCTAACCTTCAGGAATATGAAGGGTGTCCCCCACTTTCTGAATGGTGTGCTTTGAAAGAATGAGTCAACTGTACCACACTGGAGATTAAACACTTCTACACAACCCAGTTATTAAAGGAAGCCACTCTTGAGGAAACTTAACTATATATTTTGACACACTGTCCTAAACTAAAATTACAGCTTGCAAAACCTGATTTGCAGTTAAAAGTTGCCCTTTAAAAATATAGGTTTGTAAAACATAAGGTAAGAAATAGCAATGGAGAGAGCGCTTTAAATATTGTGTTTAAAACCATGGCAGTTGATGACGTGCTTTTCTAAGCGGAGGATTCTAGCAATGGAGGAAGAGAGATCCATTGGTCCTGAGGAATGGAGGTGTAAGACGGGCTCCCATCACCTGCTTTATAGATCATTGATACCAGCATTTGAACCAGAAGCATATGGGTAAACCACGATTTGTAACTGGTCACTTACGAGTTACAGTAGACCTACCCTGGGGCTATGACAACTGAAATTTGGGTGCTCAGCAGTTGGGCAATATTTATGGCCATTTGCAGTGTCCTTTGGTCACCTGACCATGTTTTACAACCATTTTGCCAAAAACTGGCATTTACTTCCTGTTTTCAGCAAAATGCACCCATAGCGAACCATTGGTTTCCAGAGAATATAAAATCAGGTCAGTCATGACACCAACCTATTTTATGATTGTCACAATTTATGACCTTGATGGGCAGGCTATTACTGTTGTAAATTGAGGACTACCTGTAATTGATTTTCTCTCATATAAAATGGCTGTATTGATACAACAAGGCAAAAATAAAGGTTTTCCCATTCATGTTCAATTCTAGGGGTGGTGCTCATCTGTTTCTTAGCCAAGGGAGTCACCTTTGAAGATGTTTCTGTGATCACATGGCCAGCATGACTATATGCCGAGGTGCATGGAACTCTGTTACGTTCCCATCAAAGTGTACCTATTTATCTACTTGCATTTGCATGCTTTCAAACTGCGAGATTAACAGGAGCTGAGACAAGTAACGGGAGCTCATCCCATTGCGTGGTGCTCATTCTTGAAGGGGGCTTTCAGATTTCTAGCTGACACGCTCACGGTCTTTAACCGCTCAGCTATCATGCCTTATTTTGATATAACATGCAAGCTAAAATATTGGATCTGCACAACACGAGTTCTAAACTGATCATTTTATAAACCATATTTAAGTAATAACTGGATTCACTCTAAGGGAGTCGCTGTGCTCAGCGGTTAAAGACGCTGAGGTTGTTAGACAGAAAGCTGACAGCCTGAGTTCAAGAACTGCGCGCTACGTAACAGAGTGAACTCCCGTTACTTGTCCCAGCTCCTGACTACCTAACAGTTTGAAAGCATACAAATATGAGTAAACAAACAGCATTCCATGCCCGTCAGCATACAATGAGGCTGGCCACGTGACCAGAGAAATCTTCGTAGAACCCTAGCTCCCTTGGTTAAGAAACGGTCATGAGCACCGTCCCCTCGGATCAGACACAACTGGACCGGGGAAACATTTACCTTTATCTTTGGGTTAACCCTGCTAAATTATGGTTTGTTAGATAACTTAAAGAGTTTAATGTTCTTGATGCTCTTCAGTAAACATGCCTATTAAACTCCCATTTGATGCGTTGTATTGTTTCCCATCTGGCTTAATTTACTACTTCAGATTATGGTTTGTATTAACCATCAGATGAACCTATACTTATGATCTTGAGCAAATTGTAATATGAACAGATCTAAAAGATACCGGCTCGATGAAGTGAAAATTTAAAAATATTATTTTCTGGATAAAATTGGGCCTCACTAGTGTCAGTATTTAGTTTGCAGCAACATATGGTTCTTTTGCTTGACTTCTGTAACCATGAACTTACTGGTGTCCAGTTCAATTAAATTGCTTTATTAGAAGAAATTACAAGTTGGTATATAAATATTAGAAAAATACATTGCTTTACAGGGCTTTCAAGGAAAGATTAGAGAGTAATAGTTTAAAAACGATTAAGACTTGGTTTCTCAAACTAAGAACAGCTGAAAAACAGGCCATATTACTTGCAGATGTTTAGTTTCCTGCTATGAAAATGGTATTAGACTGCAGTAACCTCAGTCTGGTAGGGACAAGACTACAGTTTTGTACTGTCAATCCATAAGGAGAGCTATGCGTTTTAAAAAAATGTATTGGCAGAATTTATTTAACACAATACAGACACTCCAACTTTAAAACATGGGAGCATGTTTGCAAATAGCTACTGTATATTGGACATTATAAGCTTAATTCTGTTACCTGATACTGTGACATCTAGGTTTAGTACCTGAGTTGCTGTGTGGGAGAACCAAGGCTAGAAGTTTCCTCTTCCACTTATGTCCCACTGAGTTGAATACAAGACTTTACAACCACTCTTTCATAAGCCAAGCAATTATCCTTTCCCAAACACAGATTAGTCCTTTTAGTAATCTGCATTGCGAACGACTTAATGCTACTATAAAATTCATGGCTAGGCTGGGCTTAAGCCATGCTGAAATGGAAGTTTGGTTTTAAATTACAAATAAGTACAAACTCCTAGAATGATCATGAGTTACCACTATAGTTTAGTTCATACCACTTTTTTTTAACATGCTAGGAAATGAACAAAGAAAAATCAATTTTCAGGATCTTAGGCTCAGATCTAATCAAGAAACAGGCCAGTGCTCTCAGAACACTGAAAAAGCAAACTCATTTGACAAAAATATAATTTCCAGACTATGCCTGCCTTCCAGAGATTTAAATTATATCAAGTTAGGCTTACATATTTTCTAGCTAGAACTACCTTTTTAATAGCATGTGGTGCCATCAGAAAAAGCAGGAGGGGAAGGAAGTGCAGAGCAGGCTGTAGTTTACAGAAGTCTGAGATAGGATGAACCGGCTGCAGAGTAATGATGCTGAACAATATCTACAAAACAACAGTAGAGTCGGTGTCCAAAACTATTCACAGATGAAATATATAAATTCTTTCCATGCTCACATGCTGGATTATACAATAAATACTGTCACAAATTATAAAACTGGAGCACCAAACTTTTGATACCATCAGTTTCACAATGTAATGATGAAAAGGGAAGGGCTTATGTTAACTTGATTCACAAGTTGAAGTCATATTCCATGCCTGTGTTTGAAGTACAGAATAAACAGTATGGGAAAACTGACCAATGACTGAAGTTGTGCAGAAGGGAGGGATGGGAGAAAGGGATCTAAATTTGGGCTCTTTTTATAATTGGAAAAGTTTTACCATTGAAGAATCAGATCACCTTTGAAGATGAGAAACCAAAGACACGTGACAGCATGAAAATTAGCAATAGTCATAGTTGTTTCCAAACTTCTAAAAAGTTGCACTTTTGTACTGTTCCTTGAAGACAAATCAAGCACATTTCCTTCCCATGTATTCTGAAACAAAGAAAGCAAGATCCCTGGAGAGTTTGATACCATGGCCAGAGCCAACATCAGTTGACTTACAGTTCTGTAACCATAGTTATAGTGTTATTGTGGTTCAAATTCTCACATTCTTACATAATATGTAGTCAGATTAAAATATACCAGGAAGGATTGGTACATCCTTCAGCACTGGTAACGAGTAGTCAAGCCACAACTCTCAGGACCACATTGAAGATGTCACTTAATAAATTAAGAAAATGCAGTGTTCTCCCATCTCCCTTTGTGTTTCAATTCAACAACAATTGTCATTGTTTAGTAAGTAAAAGCCAAAAACTCATGAAACTTGCTGGATCTCAAGACAATCAACAGAACTATCATTTTTTTTCTCTTTAGAAAATGAATTTGAAACCACAAGTTCAAATCATTAGAACAAATTAACATCTCGGCCAATTTATAATCTACCATGTACAGTACTGCACATGTGAAGCAGTCAGGTCCTCAAGTTTTACACTTATACATTGACTAGCAAGAACATTTTTCTTTAAAATAAAACAAAACACTAATTTTGGGCCAGTCAGTAGGATAGGCTCAGATACAAGTGTTTTTTTTATTAAAAGTGCTTTACAATTATTTATTTTGTGCAATCCACCAAGTCCATTTCAAATTCAAGCACACTGCCCAAGGAGAATCTCTTTAACTGGGAAATTCCATAGCTCAACTGATACTGAGAGAGGTCTGCTTAATTTTGGCATGTTAATCATCTATCATATATACAATTTACAACCGGGAAGTGGTTACATAATGTCCATAATGCCAGTGCAGAAATATGGTAATGTGTCTATGAAAAAATAACTCTTAAAAAAAAAACAATCACCAAGGTAAACAATCACCAAGAAAAACCTTCCACCTAGATTTGCCCAGATAAAGTGTGATAAGTTGTTACCAGGTGAACTATTGCATTTCCCATCTAGTTTCCAAAACAAGCTGCCTGCCTACAGCCTCACAAAGTAGCTTATTTCTTTGAGGGGGTAGAGATTGCATTGATTACAGGTTAAATGACAAGAGGTTCATCCTTTTGAAGCAAACAGATACAAGCAGGGATTTCAGAAAAGGGCAAATAATTATTGAGGATCCCCTAATCATCCTTGAATATCATTGAAGGCAGAATTCCAGTTTTTCACCCAACAGTTCAGAAGGGCCAAGCAGCAAACTGGGATCCAATTTGAAATGTAACATTGACTTCTTCCCCTTTAGTCTTTCTACTCCATTCCCCCGAGATTTTGCTTAACATGTAAAGCTGTTATGTCCTCAAATCACAGAAATATATTTTAAAAAGTAACACTCTTGTTTTGTGTATGTGTATACACTCACCCATGTGGTAACATTACAGGATGCATTAGTATTCTAGAAAGGAGAGAATGCAATTTTTAGTTAGTTAATATTTTTCTCTTCCCTTACATACATATAGACGCTGAATAATAGTGGTTACTGAAGGGAAGAGTGACATATGTTTCAATTAACCCATTCATGAAGCAATGGAAGACTTGCTTATCTTCCAGGGTTTGGTTCTGTGTATAAGATTGCACCAACCCACCCTAATCCTCTGCATTTAAGTACATAGTGGTTTGAAGCCACGAGACCTTTTTTTGCTGTGTTAAACATATGACAAAAAAATCCCTTGAATATATCCCAAAGTTTTAGAAGAGACCTGCTGTGGCACCTGACAAAAATAAAATGTCTTTGTCCAAGAAAAGAGGCCCACGGGAGACAAAGCTGCAAGCCAATTCTACTTTATCTGGCTCAAGATAGGCTTCTCCTTACACATGGACTTGACGTGAGCTGCAACAATCATTTTAATGCATAAGAGTTTTGTAAGAAATCACTTTGGGCTGTCTCAATATTTATGGACAGAGATGACCCGCTCCAAGGGTCACTGTCTTGCTGTTTGGTTGCTCTACTCGCACTATTCTACTTCTCCTGGTTATCCCTGTCTCATCATCTCAGCCTCTAGTCATTCTCACATCCCCCATAGTAGCATCATCATTGCATGTCCCCTAGCATTAGACCTTCCTTCAACATCACTGTAAACATAGGACTATTTGCAAAGTTTTCGATACATTACTGAATGATAGCTTGGATTATTAACTATTTCTTAAGAAAACCTGATTGAATTTGATAGCAAAGTTGGCCTCATCACTCCCTGATTTTGACACAGGAGAGCAAACAAGGGTTCTGAAAATCCAGGAGCTTTAGTCAGCCTCCTTTTCAACAGGAGAAGTGGTAAAGCTTTCATTATAAGGCCACACAAAATTTTCAGCAATGCATTAAACAAAAATTTAACTTGTGGTCAATCTCTTTTTGGGTAAAAGCAGTCACTATGCCTGGCACAGCTGCCCTTTGTAAAAAAAAAAAAAAAAAGTTACAGAACACCAGAATGTTCTCTCCAGGAAGGTAACAAAAGGGGCAGATCAGCACATACTTACCCAGAAATGTAAGCGCTAACAATATTATTTCTTTTCTTTAAAAAAGTGTGATAAGACTTTAGAACAGCCAAGTCACAGTTTTATCACCAAGGAAGGCCTTTTTGTTACATGATCAGCAAGTACAAAAATCTTGGTTTGCAATGCTCTGAACTGGAAACAGAGCAGCTCTACCAAATCGTGTTGGTTTTCCCATAAAACCTCTGTAGCACTCCCAGTTTGTTCCCAATGCAGTTTCTATCATTATCCATTGTTAACATTAATACACCCCCCAAAAAAATCATATATACTGGAATAAAGCATTTGCATGGTCCCTTAAGTTGGTCAGAGTCCACTGTAACAGGAAGACAAAGTATGCGCTTCCCCTTCTCCATGAGACGTGTCTTGGGATAGGCCTGTTACAAGATGGAAGGGGAGGCATTCCCTGGGAGTCATTTCCTTCCTCACAGCCAACTAGGAAACACCCCCAACAGTCAAGACGTCAAAGCAGGTGTTGCAAACGCGGACAGGCTTGTTCAAGTCAAATTTGATGATAGGAATCTCCTTGGTTGAACACTTATGGCAGAGCAGGCGCCCACAGTGCCGGCTGCAAGGAACAAGGAAGGAAAAAGGTGTGTTTACTTCATCCCCGTGACCTGTTTACTATAAAAAACAAACAAACAAGGTATCTATTTAGGAAGAGAAGGTTAAGGAAAGGAAACTATTAGAGGTTTCCACAACACTAAAAGTTGTTGGAATTTTTATGGCCAATCGTGTCCATAAAGTGTAATAAATAATAACTAATGTGGTTTCTTTTCGAATCAGGATGGTTGACTCCAGCAGTGGGATACTACCGGTTTGGTGATCCCGTGCGCATGCACATGCACCTAACCACATGCACACACCTTTCCACACACCAGTTGAGGCCTGCAGCACCCATCAGCTGAGAGGATAAAGGAGAGAAAAGCACAGGGGCAGGTGGGAGGGCGAATCCTGCGCTTTTCTCTTCTTTCTCCTCTCAGCTGATTGTAGGAGACTTTTTTTCCTCCTCTCAGCTGATCATGTGAACTGGTCTGAAATGGTAGCATATCACTACTAGTTGACTCTGTAAAAGTGAAGGCTGGAAGAAAATGAAGGATTAAAAAAAAGTGTGGGTGAAATTGAAGAAGATCTAAGTAGTTGCTAAGAGTCAACACTAATTTCATGGCACATTGCCTGCCTGCCTTCCTACCTACCAAATTCCTATATTGTCCATCACACAAAGGAAATTTCATAGAGTCTTTGTATTTGTCTTCAATT